CCTGTCAGAGGACAGCTCAAACCCGGGGAGCTTCCCTTCTTCAGCGGTTGCACAATGGAAATGCCTCACCTCCAAGAGTACCTAGCCCTCCACCCGCACCCGAACCCCCATGGCCCTGTGGAGACCGGGGAGACCGGGGAGACCGGGGAGATAAGCAGCAGGCCGTGGCTCGAGGTCGAGGGTTTCCTGGGAGACGAGGTACCCGTGGGGGCAACTTAGTGACTGGCACACAGCGTTTCCAGGAGGCCCTGAAGGATCCTTTCACCTTGTGCCTTGCCAATGTGCCTGGCCAGCCAGACCTCCGCCATATTGTCATTGATGGCAGCAATGTGGCCATGGTGTGAGTACCTAGCGGGGCTGGTGTTGGGGAGGGAGGATGAGACAGTCATCTTTATGTGTCCTGGGGACATGGCTGAGGGGCTAGTACTGCAGTGAGGCTGTCAGGCCCCTCACCTGGATTTCCCCCTGTAGCCATGGGCTCCAGCACTACTTCTCCAGCCGGGGCATTGCCATTGCTGTRCAGTACTTCTGGGACCGTGGCCATCGTGACATAACCGTCTTTGTGCCTCAGTGGCGCTTCAGTAAGGATGCCAAGGTTCGAGGTGAGTTGGGTTTGATCATCTGTGTCCTGGGATTGGCTCTGTTTCCACCTTGAGGAGAACCCTGTTTGTTCTTTTTCTATAGAGAGTCACTTCCTGCAAAAGCTGTACTCCCTCAGCTTGCTCTCCCTAACTCCCTCACGAGTCATGGATGGAAAAAGGATCTCCTCCTATGACGACAGGTACTGCTACCCTCCTTGCCCGAGCTTTGATTATTTAAGGAGTCCAGTAGGAGGTTGAGGGAGAGAATCTCCTGACAATTTGCTTTGTCTCCAAGCCTCAGGAGTGGGGGCAGAGAGTTATTCCTCCATGTGCTCTTATGACTGGTTAGGTAAACCTCCCCTGTAGCTGAGATGGGATAGACTTAGACAACCGTGTTTGCCCCTTCATCATTCCTTCTTCATTCATCAACCTGAATGACATCTTGTGCTTGTGTAGTGCCTTCCTGTCTAGGAAATACTGGTTTATTGGAAAGATGGGAAAACTACTGACACAAATAGCTGACAGATGTGTTTTTATAAGCTAAATTTCCAAATGTGTAGAGAAACTCCCCCAACATTCTGGAGAAACCAGAGTAAACAATTAAAAGTAAGTATGAGGAAGAAACACAGCCTGTGAACAATAGGACTGTACAAAACATGGTATGGTAGAAAGATCATAGGAYGTAGAATTTAAAGATCTGAATTTGAGCTTCACGTTCACTTCTCATTGATTTCATCTATAGGCCCATACCTTAGTGAATTAACCTCTTTGGCTCAGGTTCCTCCATGCATTTGTCTTCCTTATGAATATCAAAAGAAGAAAAGTAGTGTTCTTGCCTCACTCAACGAGGTAGGCAAGAGTCCATCACATTTCCTTGTATGGACCAAATTATGTGTTGCATAAAATATTATCTCTGTTTTAAAGCTGTGGACACAAAGGGTAAGAATGGTGAACTACCCTAACAAAGGAAAAATAGACCTCAGAACTGCCAGATAGTTTAAATCCAGGGCATATTCCAGCTGCAGTATACATACATGGTGTGGGGAAAAGGGCAGATTTGAAAGCTAATTAACCAGTCTAAAAATTTTACAACTATAGGCTCTTTGTCCTTTAGGATATTATTTAGTTTTAAACAGTTAATTTCAAACTGCGGTGATTATACATTTTGTCTTTTCAAAACTTAACCAAGTGTGGTGACACGCGTGGCTCAGGAGGCTGAGGCAAGAGGATTGTGAGTTCAAAGCCAGCCTCAGCAAAAGCAAGGTGCTAAGCAACTCAGTGAGACCCTGTTTCTAAATAAAATACAAAATAGGGCTGGGGGGTGTGGCTCAGTGGTCAGGTGCCCCTAAATTCTATCACTGGTACCCCCCTAAAAACAAACAAAAAAAACTTCTTATGAATAAATACTGTTTTACAAAAGGCAGTCCACTTCCTTCCAGTGGAATTTTGTTTTATGCTGAGATTTCACAGTGAATCCAAGATGGGACCTTCTTTCCACACCAGCACTGAAAGAGAATTGAGACTGCATTGAGTCAGTTTTAATGACTTTTAAAGGCATGTGTTTGTGCAGTTGTGTAGGACCTGATGGACAGATAACAATGTAAATTGGGAGTTTTTCCTGGTAACAGTGAATAAGCCCTGTGCTACACAGCATAGGCTGACAAATGAACAACATGCCATGTAATGCAATAATAGTAAAATATGCTTAACTGGAAAATACCTTTTGTATACCATCTGTATACCTTATACATAAATTTGCTTCCCAGCCAGAAACTCGGAACCAGACTTTGCTCCTGCCTAACCCTGTCAAATACTAATTGCCTGCTTAGTGTTAGGTACATGGTCTGCAGAAGGAACATGGGGAACAAGATCTGACTCTTGACTTCAAAGAGCCAAAAGAAACTTATAAATCAGATACTACAGCAACTCAGAGGAAGGGAGCCCTCTCTGACTGGTGTTTTGCAGGAGTGGAGAGTTTGTGAATTGTTTGTTGAGAAGGATGTGGATGGGCTGGATCTCTTGGTTTCTAAAACTGTTAACAAGACTGCTTTCCACCACATGAATCTATGTGATGGGATCAGAATTGCTAAAGTGAGACACCGGCATCGATATTTTTTTGGTACTAGGGAATTTACCCAGGGGTGCTTTACCACTGAATAATATCCCCCGCCCTTTGTATTTTTTATTTAGTTAGACAGGGTCTTTGCTAAGTTGCTTAGGGCCTTGCTAAGTTGCTGAGGCTGGCCTCAAACTTGCAATCCTCCTGCCTCAGCATCCTGAGTCGCTGGAATTACAGGTGTGCGCCACCATGCCTGGCTTACCTTTTTAAAGTTCCCCTGGTGACTGTGTTTATCAGCAAGGTTTGGGGAACACTTTCCAGATGGAGGGAATGGTTTGAGAAACATGAAGTCAGAGACAGTGCAGGCCATGTTTAGAGAGCAGGGTGTAATCTGATAATTGATTTTGACTGGAGTTGAGGGCACATCAGGGAATAATGGGAGAGAGAAGTCTGTGAGGGTGCTATAGAACTGGATTCTAGAGGGCTTTAGCTGCCAGGCCTGAGCATGTGGACTTAGTAGATGAAGGCAGGTGTGGAAGAGCTCTGTACAGGGAAAGAGCATGTTTTCTTGCGGGAGGGCAGGCGAACCAGGAGGGTGGTGAAGGGTGAGAGGTAGGTGAATGGTGAAGAGGCTATGTGGTATCTCACCTGTAATATCTGAATCACGAAGGTGGTAAGGAAGGAAGGGGGCTTCAGAGTGGAGGGCTTTTCAGAGGATGAACATAGTGGATTTTTAAGTGATTGGTTGGTAGGATGGAAGACAGAGTCAGTACCAGATCTGTCTCTTACAAATGAGGCACAAAATGTTGGGTGAAGGGTTGTGGCTAGTGGATGGGATACTGTTGGGGGACCACCTAGTATTCATCTTTATTTCTGCTCTAACCCATGACACCTGTATCCAGTAAGTCACCTGTAGTGGTCAGTGTGAGGTAGGGATGTCATTTCTCCATCCCCAGAAGTAAGTCACAGGGATTGGTAATACTCTGGGCCTTGAAGACTCCTGGAATGTTGCCATGGTTTTTGAGACAGGTTCATGGTGAAGCTGGCAGAAGAGACCAACGGGATCATTGTCTCCAATGACCAGTTCCGGGACTTGGCAGAGGAGTCTGACAAGTGGATGGCAATCATCAGAGAGCG